TTCTTTGTAATAGAGTCATTACAAAGTGGCTTGTAATAGGTGTTTACAAGTTAGTGAAGTTGAAAGCCTACAAGTGTAGGTCGTGGTTTTTGTCCCCTTGAGTTGGGATTTTTCCACGTAAAAATCCTCTATGTTCCTTACTTACTGCCGAGCTACTGTGGGAACAATTAAAGAACCTGATTCCCTATACTGATTAGTTTTACAGTCTGTTGCTTACAGTGGGAACTTATAGAAAATCTGGTTCTCTATATAGTGGGAACTCATCATGTGTCTCATTTACATACTGGTTCAGAAGTTAGCACTGTGGGAACTGATATAGGACCAGATCGCTATACATTTCGGTTCACTAGTATCTTTAGTGGAAACTCATAGAGAACCCGGTACTCTATACAGTCTGGTGGACGCTTAGTTTCTAACAAGTTGTAACTTTGTAATAGCTCTTCACTTGTATTTCCTACTTAGCTTGTCTAGAAGCATTATGTAGGAACCCTTTTGTAAACCTTAAAAATGTGTGTTTGAGTCTTTTCTAGAGTTAGTCATGTTGTAAAGTCTTTGTAATAGAGTTATTACAAAGTGATTTGTAATAGAGTATTACAAGTCAGTGAGGGATTAAGAGGTTAATTATTAGGTTGCATAGGTTATAATCTAAAAGTTGCTCAGTTGTGAAGTTAAAATCCTACAAGGGTAGGTTGTGGTTTTTAATCCCGTTGAGTTGGGAATTTTCCACAATAAATTCCTCTTGTCATTTATTTACTGTAGTGTGCGTGTGTACTGTTGAACCTGATAGAGAACCTGGTTCTCTATATTAGTTGGGTGGACCCTTATATTCTATTAATTAGTATCAGCGCAGCTTCTTTCTATCCGGTTAACACCTAGAAAGGATTCTCATGGATTCTCCTCCAAACTTAGAAGAAGGCAAGTCTACTTACAAACCACCTAGGTTCAATGGACAATGTTATGGATAGTGGAAAACTAGGATGCATGACTTCATCATGGCTGAATATTCTGAGCTATGGGATGTCATATATGATGGACCCTTTGTTACTACCAAAAACCTTGGCGACCCAGCTATAGCCATTCCAAAGACAAGGAAAGAACTCAATAATGGTGATAGAAAGGCCATAGAGAAGAACTTTTGTGCAAAGAAAATTCTGGTGTGTGGCATTGGTCCTGATGAATACAATAGGATGTCGACATGTCAGTTAGCCAAAGAAATCTAGGAAGCCCATCAAACAACTCACGAAGGAACAACAAGGGTCAAGCAATCCAAAATCTACATGCTCACAAGTGAATTCGAGCTGTTCAGGATGAAAGACGATGAATCTGTTCAAGATATGCATACCCAGTTCACCTCCATCATTAATTAGATTCACTCCCTCGGTGAAACTATTCCAAGAAACAAGCTGGTTAGAAAAATCCTCAGTGTGCTGCATGGTTCCTAGGAAAGCAAAGTGAACGCCATCACAAAGGCAAAGGACTTATAGGATCTAACTATTGATGAGCTTGTTGGAAATCTAAAAACTTATGAAATGAAGAAGAAGAAGAAGAAGAAGAAGAAGAAGAAGAAGAAGAAGAAGAAGAAGGACAATGAAAGAAGAGAGCCAAACAGAGAGAAGAACGTGGTCCTCAAGACAAAAAGTAATGATTCAAGTGGTGAGGATGGTGATATGGCATACCTGACAAGAAGATTCAAGAAGATGGTTCGCAGGAATGGAGGCATTCCAAAAAAGGGAAATTTTAGCAAGCCAAAAAGTTATGACCTCTGTCATAAATGTGGCAAGCCAGGACATTTCATCAAGGATTTCCCTCTCCTAAAGAAGGATCAGTATAAGAACAAATCTGACAAAGCAGTCAAAAGGAACCTAGTTCCTGATAGATGCTTCAATAGAAAAAATGTCGCTGACAATGTCGTGAGACAAGATCTTGCTGCATGGGGAGATTCATCATGTGAATCTGGAGAAGATGATGAACCAAGTAGCAGCTCTATTATGGCAGTAGAAAGTGAAGCAATCGAGTATGATTCAATCTTTGCTTTGAAGTCCCAGTCAGATGATGAAGATGGCGATGATGATAAGGTAAATTTTCTAGATGTTCAGACAAATCCGAAATCTTATTCTCCTAAGAAATTCAGGTCTTTAGCAAATGTGTTAATTGATGCTTATCATAGTCTTATAAATGACAAAGATGCCTTAATAGTTGAACTAGGAGAAGAAGAACAGTCTAGAGATGACCTAGAAGTAGTTGCAGTTGATTTAAGGGAGACAATTGAGAACCTGAAGAAAGAAAGAGATGTCTTAGATAAAAAAATTACATATGTAGAACAAGAAAGAGATGATCTTATGGCTATTGTGGTGGACCTAAAAAAGACCATTGTGAGTGTAAGTATGGAAAACGATGCCTTAATTAAGAAAGTTGTTAGTATTGAGCATGAGAAAGATGACCTCCTAGTTGGCCTGAAAGTTCTCAAAAAGGAAAGGAAGTTGCAAGCGAGACACACATTAAGCTTGAAAGTGAGTTATATTCAGTGAATTCTAGTATGTGTGCTAAGCTTGAGAGAAACAAACAACTTCAGGAAGAACCAGATAGAGTGAAAGTGATCTTGAAAACTCACTCAAGTGGACCTGGTCCTCTGATGCTTTCACTGCCATATATACCAACAATGGGGGAAACAGGCAGAGGATTGGGTTTCAAAGGGAAAAGATTCCCTACAACCCTCATAGCAAGTAATTTACAGTACTTGAAAATTGGTTTTGCACTCATTGTGGTAACAATGGGAACCTTAATGAAAATTGTAAGGCTATATTTTAGTCACAGCAGAAAAACAAATCTTTTGCTACTGGTGGAGAACCTTGTTCCTCATATAAAAATGCATAATGCCTACATGGACCAAAAGATCCCTTATTCACCCCTTTCCTCATTACAAGGGACCCAAATTAGTTTGGGTTCTTAAAACTAACTCCTATTTTTTCTTATGCAGGGAATAGTGAAAGGAAGCAGCCTATAATGGTACATGGACAGTGGCTGCTCAAGGCATATGACTAGAAGTACAAATGATTTCCTTTCACTTAAGGCCCTGCAATGAGGGGGTGTATCTTTTGGAAATGGTAAGAAGGGATACATTCTGGGAGTTAGAAGGATTGGGAAGTCTCTCTCTCACTCAATTGAAAATGTGTACTACGTGAAGGGATTGAAGTACAACCTACTGAGTGTTTCCCAAATCTGTGACAGGGGAAACAAGGTGGAATCTGTGTCAAAAATCTGTACAGTCACAAACTTGGTAACTGGTGAGGTGGTGCTAGTGGGAAAAAGATACAAGAATATCTATGTAGCTGATTTTGAGTCTCTGAAGAATGGTGATATAAGTTGTCTAAGTGTTGTTGTTGATGATGCTGAATTATGGCACAAGAGGCTCGGTCATGCAAGTTTCACGTTATAGAACAAATTAGTCAGAAGGACCTGGTTCGTGGTCTGCCCAAGTCAAGCTTCAAAGATCACAAAGTATGTGATGCATGTGTAAAAGGGAAGCAAGTCAGATCCTCATTCATGTCCAAAAAGGAAGTCAACACCACAAGGCCACTTGATCTCCTTCACATGGATCTATGTGGACCTATGAGTGTGCCAAGCAGAGGAAGAAAGAAGTACATCTTTTTGATAGTTGATGACTGTTCCAGATTCACCTGGACTTTGTTCCTCAGGACCAAGGATGAAACCTTTGAAGTTTTTGTTGCTTTTGTCAAGAAGATCCAAGTGAAGATGGGTAATAAAGTAGCCTGCATTAGGTCTGATCATGGGACAGATTTTGACAATGTCAAATTCGATGGCTTCTGCACTGAAAATGGCATCACTCACAATTTTTCAGCTCCAAGAACACCTCAACAAAATGGTGTTGTGGAGAGGAAGAATAGAACTCTTGAAGACATGGCAAGAACAATGCTAATTAATAGTGGGATCGCAAATTATTTATGGGCAGAAGCTATCAATACTGCTACTTGGTGAACAGGTGCATGATCAGGTCGCTTTTGAAACGAAACTCCATATGAACTGCTGAATGGAAGAAAGCCCAAGCTGACACATCTAAGAACTTTTGGGTGTAAATGCTTTGTTCACAACAATAGAAAGGAATCTCTTGGAAAGTTCGATGTCAAAAGTAATGAAGGAATTTTTCTGGGATACTCATCCCAAAGCAAAGCTTAAAGGTATACAACAAAAGGACTCAATGCGTCGAAGAAAGCATACATGTGATCTTTGATGAAGCTCACCTCTCCTGTGAGAAGGACAAACATGTTGATCAAGATGGAGAGCCCTTATCTATTCCAGGTGAAGTAATTGTCATGGAAAATGGAAAGGCAGACATGATGAGCCATGTCAAGAAATCCAATGAAGATGATGCAAATACATCTCTATCAATTTGAAACGAACCTAGTCCCCCAATTACAACAACTGAAGCTCAAAATAGAGCTATTGATGCAGTCCAAGGAACTCCACTTTGTGAAGTAAGAAGTGCCGAAGAACCCCAGTCAAACATACCATGTTCCTCTACCAATGAGACTCAGGCACCAAATTGGAGGTTCAAAAGTTCACATCTTCTTGACAACATAATCACTCTTGACTCAGGAGTTCAAACCAGATCAAAAGCAAGAAACTCACTTGCCTTCTCAACCTTTCTTTCCCAAATTGAGCCAAAAAGTATAAAGGAAGCATTAAAAGATGCAGACTGAATCACAGTAGTGTAAGAGGAGCTGCATTAATTTGAAAGGAATAAGGTATGACACCTAGTTCCTCGACCTGCAGATCGAACCATCATAGGAACCAGATGGGTATTCAGGAACAAACTTGATGAGTTTGGAAAAACAACAAGAAGTAACACAAGGCTTGTAGTTCAAGGCTACAATCAGGAAGAAGGAATTGATTATGATGAAACATTTGCTCCAGTAGCTCGAATGGAAGCCATTAGATTACTAATTGACTTTGCATATCATATCGAGCTCACACTATTCCAAATGGATGTCAAAAGTGCATTTCTAAATGGCTATCTAAAAAAGGAAGTCTATATCAAGCTGCCTCCTGGCTTTGAGTTTCACAAGCATCCTGAGCACGTGTTCAAACTGGACAAGGCATTGTATGGGTTAAAGCAAGCTCCCAGGGCCTAGTATGAAAGGTTGTCAAAATTCCTTCTAGAAAATGGGTTTACAAGAGAAAAAATTGACAACACTTATTTTCTAAAGAAACGAGGGAGGAACCTGCTCATTGTGTAGGTGTATGTTGATGATATCATCTTTGGAGCCACAACTGACTCTCTTTGTGAAGAATTTGCAAAACACATGGGGAGTGAATTCAAGATGAGTATGATGGGAGAACTGAATTTCTTCCTAGGATTTCAAGTGGAAGCATCAAAAGTCATCGACACTCCCATAGCCACATCCACCCATCTAGACTTGGATAAATCTGGTTCCCCTGTAAATCAGACCATGTATAGAGGGATCATAGGGTTACTCATGTATCTCACTGCAAGCAGACCAGACATTGTTTTTAGCATGCGTCTCTATGAAAGGTTTCAATCATATCCAAAGGAATATCATCTGAAGGCTGCCAAGAGAATACTAAGATATCTCAAAGGAACGCAGGACCTGGTCCTTTATTATCCCTCAGGTGAGAGCTTTGATCTTATTAGATATGCTGACGCTGATTATGTAGGATATCTGGTGGACAGGAAAAGCACTTTTGGAATGGCACATTTTCTTGGCTCCTGCTTAATCTCATGGGGTACAAGGAAGCAGAACTCTATGGCACTCTCAACTGCAGAAGTTGAATATGTAGTAGTTGCCTCTTGATGTGCTCAACTTCTGTGGATCAAGCAACAGTTGGAAGACTTTGGAGTGTTCTCAGATTGTGTGTCTCTCTTATGAGAGAATACAAGTGCACTCAACATTGCAAAAAATCGAATTCAACATAAGAGGACCAAGCACGTTGATGTACGCCATCACCTCCTCAGAGACAATGTTGAAAAGGGGCTTATATGCATGAAATTCTATAGCACTGAAGATCAAATTGCAGATATATTTACCAAAGCCTTAAGCAGAGAAAATTTCGAACAAAATCATCTGGAATTGGCGTTTATAAAACCCAATTGAGAACCTAGTCCCTCAATGATTGGCTATGAAAGAAATGTTCAGGTAAACTTAGCTAAAAGGTGTTTTCTAGCAAAGTATAACTCATTTCTATACTGTTACAAGTAGACACGCTTGATTATTACATAGCAAATAAGCAGTTGAGGTTGTATAGACTGGTAAAAAGGGCAAAGCTTACAGATAAGAGATCAGTCAGGGTTATAACCTATGATTATTACATAGGTTAGTACTTTCTCTGTTCTCTCATGCACAACTCTGAACAATTAAAATAAGTGCCACATCATCAGCATGTCAGTTTTTAGTTTTGTGTCTTTTGAACCCAAACGTCTCACCGGTTATTAATCAACCAAACTCCCTAAAATCTGCCGTTATTTCTAATCGGTCCCTCTTTCATCATAAATACATCTATCTCTGTCATCATATTCCACACATCAACACTTCAAAACCTGTTTCCTATTCTTTCTCTCTTCAGTTCACCAAATCTTCTCTTTTCTTCTCACCATGGCTGAAATTAAATAATTTCTAGTATCACTGAGTCCTCACCAGTTGAAACACCAATGCCAGACTCCCCTCCCCATACTACTGATAACCAAAACCCTATAATAGAGTCACCCCCACACTCTGTCTCTTCTTCTACCCATTCGAGTTCCAGTTCTCAAATGAGTCACAAAGCATTAACTCCCACAAGAGGTATTGCCCAGAGCTCTTCTCTTACCTCGCTAGAATAGAGGGATAAAATGAGTATTGCTGAGAATGAAGAAAATCGGGAAATTTCAAGTTCTCCTATAGTAGAAGGGTTAAATGTAGACTAGGCTGAGGGAAATGAAATCGTTGACTCAACAAAGACTGCTCCTGATCCTTTGTCCACAGGTATCACTCCTACTTTTCTTGAGTTTCTCATAGATCTACAAGAAAAGGAGCCATAGAAAATATGTTGTCCATCGCCAATGAAGGGCTTTTTCGGAGGAAGCGAGGATGGCCTTAAGACTCAGGAGGAAGCATCTGAGCCTATTGGAGAGGATAATGAACTTGTGCCTGCTGAGCCTTCAGCACAGGAAGGTGCTACTGGGGATCCTGCTGGAGGACCTGATCTGCCTTTAGAGGATCCAACTCTGGGTCTCCCTCAGGAACCCCAGGTTAGTACTAACCGTACTCCCTCTCCTCATTTAGATGTTGAGCCTCTAAGTGTGATTATGTCTGAGACAAGCCCTATGTCTAAAGAGCAAAAGGAGGATAGTGAAGAAGATTCTGATGATTTACCACTTGCTAGTTTGCCTAGGCGTAGAGTAGTTGTTGGTGAAGAGACAACTCCTAAGAGACCCACAACAAGGTTGCAAAAGAAGGAGGCTCTTGAGTCTACTTTTAAGAACAGTCAAGCTAAGTCAAGGAGAAGAAAATTAGTTAAAGATGGCAAAGTTGTAAGTGAGAAGATAGTGCCTGTTGTGAATGTGGATGAGAAGAAACGGAGGAACCTAGTATGTTAACTAGGAAGTTATCACAAAAGCATGGTCTTCTCAAGTCAAAAGGGGGATCTTCTGTGTCTGCTAAAAGTCTAACTAAGTCTAATGATATTGTTGCTACTAAGAATGTGGTGAAAGGATTAGGTGAAAATCTATAAAGTCTGATAAAAAGGAGAAGAGTGTTCACAAGACTGCTAAAAGAAAGGTTGATACTGATGAGGAACCTGGTTCCTCAAAGAAGGCCAGAGTTGGTGATCTAGGGAGTGCTGGGAAAGAAAGATTGAAAAGTCAAAAGGTACTATGGGGACACACATTTACCTCTGATGTCTTGGAGGAAGCTAATATGAGATAGTTGGTTGAGATTTGTGATTTCCAACAATGGACACACTTGTTCACAAGTGATGCTGCTAGGGTATATGAGGAGGAAGCTCAAAATTTTTATGCCTACTTGTTTAAAATTGAGTATGGTCACATTTGTGCCTTGGTGAATGGAGTTGACTCCTATTTGAGATGGTAAACAAAGTCTTGCTGCCTTGATCTAGGCGAAAACCCATCACCTCTCGTGCAGACCTGTTCCTCATGGAAGCATTGGATAACTTCACGACCATCAATCTGCCTGGGATCGTGATAGAGCACATGAATAAAGTGGCAGACTTTAAAGATGGTAATCATGGGCTGCCTTATGGGTTCCTTCTTATCACGGTCTTTAAGTACTTCAAGGTTCCTCTCGGACCGGTTAATATGGGCTCCAAGAAGCAAACTTTTTCAAAAGGCACTCTTGAAAAATGTGAGTGTATAAATTTGGAGGGATTGCAAGAACTTCTACCATATCTCAGTTAATAAATGCTCAAAAATGCTACTATTGAGATAAGGCAATTAAAGGCAAGGAATGTTATGCTTGAGACTCAGATAATTCAGCTACAAGAGGTACCTAGTTCTAGTCGCTCAAAAAGCGAAGAAGTTGATCACCTGACAAAGGAGAATGTTGAGCTCAGGAAATAAGTGCAGGACCTGAAAGAGAGACTGCTCAATGAGCAAATGTCACCAAATGCTCGAATGGATTTAGTCCTCCAAACAATTTCCTCTGCCTCCAAACGTTCTCCTCTCAGTGCTTCTTAAATTTTGTCCCCTCAGTGTCAAGTCTATAATCTAGTTTCTGGTCTCGTCTCTCAGTGTTCGTTCTTATGATGATAACTTGTGGTATTTTTGTTGGTTGTTCTAATTTGTGGATATGGTAATAACATTTGACTCTGCTCCAGCTGTAAAATCCAAATTATGTTAATGTAAGCTTTTCCCATGTTGTTGTTTATACCTTGCTTTGATGCTCTATTTTTAATCATGACTGTGTGCACATAAGTGGCATGAGTTAACTTAAAACTAGACTTCCTTCTTGCTCAATTGCCTGCTACTGATCTTTTTATGATGCCAAAAGGGAGAAAAATAATTGCACTAATTAAGTGGGAATGCAGAGATTTAGGGGGAAACTAAAGGTTTGTTTGGTTCGTAGTCTGGTTCTATGTGGCTTTTTTTGGAATTTGTATTTATAAGTTTGTCACCATCAAAAAGGAAGAAATTAATAGGTTACAAGTACCCTGGTCATAATCACTTTGTTTTGTGTTTTGATGATTTAACAAACTTACTATCTAGAACCAGATACAGAACCTGTTACACATTTACAAGACCTTAATATCACAATGTTCCGGGTTGGGATCCAGCTTGGGTTATGATTCAACTCTTCAGAGTGAAAGGAATAGTTGAGGGGACTGGTCTCTACCAGTTCCCTAGGAGATTGTACGAAGTCAACTCCCCAATTGGAAAGTTGTTGCTTGCACACGCTACAGTATAGGTATAGTGCATTAGTCAACTTTCTATGAAAGGCTTTTTACCTACCTTGATTACATCATTGTATGTGAGGTCATACATGTATTAAAAACATCAAGGGAGGAAAAACTCATTCACTTGAACACTTAAAGATTTCACTCAAACTCACTTACCACCTATCCAGCAAGAAAGTTTCAAGTGCTTCAAGAACAAAGAACAAAACAACTACGGACCAATTCACATATCAAGTCATTATATGTCATTAGTTGAGTTGTAACTTTGTAATACTCTTCACTTGTATTTCCTACTTAGCTTGTCTAGAAGCATTCTGTAGGAACCCTTTTGTAAACCTTAAACCTGTGTGTTTGAGTCTTGGCTAGAGTTAGTTATGTTGTAAAGTCTTTATAATAGAGTTATTACAAAGTGACTTTTAATAGAGTATTAAAAGTAAGTGAGATATTAAGAGGTTAATTCCTAGGTTGCATAGGTTGTAGTCTAAAAGTTGCTCCGTAGTGAAGTTGAAATCCTACAAGGGTAGGTCGTGATTTTTAATCCCGTTGAGCTAGGAATTTTGCACGTAAAATTCCTCTTGTCATTTATTTATTGCAATGTGCATGTGTACTATTGAACCTGATAGAGAACATGTTCTCTATAGAGTTTGGTGAACCCTTATACTCTATCACATGTTAATGCTCCTCCCGTGAGGGGCTCGCCGAATGTTTTCAACAAAATGGATGATACTTGTTCCTTGGCGAGGTCATTACCTTTCACGGCGGTAACGTAGTGAGTTACATGGTCTTCGGAGTTGGTCGTGGCATCATATAGTTTTTGATAGGGCGGATTTTTAAAGGTCTTTGGTATGGCATGTGGGGTGACGTCATCACTATATGGTTGCTCGACGAACCGACCAACATCTCTCTTTGGTAGGAGCTTTGGGGTGCCCATTATCTTATCGACCCTTTCTTAGTGTTCTCTCATTTGATTCTGAAGTGCTTTGTTCTCATTCTCTATTTCCTCCATCCTTTTCAGAAGGGCTGCGAGGGTGTTGTCACCTGCGTTGTTGACGACATTGTGAGTAATACCTGTCGTTAGAGGAAATTGGTCATGTTGCTCGTTCGCTGGTGGTATAACGCAAGTCCTTGGTTTTCTATAGCCATGTCCTGAGTGGGCTTATGGAGATTCTAGTTAGCGTGTTAGTTAGCCAAGCCTCAAAGAGCTTTTTTACTGCTGGCGGCATCTCTTCCTCCACGGACATGAAGGCTCCTTTACTAAGAGATTTTATGATGCTACAGTGATGAGGGGGTTATCCGCCTCACCTAGGGGAGCCGTTGGGTGTTGTATCCTCATCCACTACTTTAGAGCTCTCATTGATGGTGTTCATGAGGTTGGTTGGGAGGTCACTCATTATTCTCGTTCTTTCTTCTTTATTACCTGCCATATTAGATCTGTGCATATAAACAAAGGAAACTTTGTTCTTGCCCATTCTTTTTTTTACATTAGCTGTTCGTGTTAGTTATAGATCTAAAGAAAACTAAAAATTTAACTAAGAAATCCCCACAGACAACGCCAAATTATTTGACCAAGAAACAATTGTATTTATATAATTAAGGGTTAAACCTAGTTAATGATAATATCTAAATTTAAACTCTGAGAATATTGCTAATGTATAGACAGATCTAGTAGAGAGTTGATAGTAGCATTAAATGAATATATCAAAAGGTATGAATAATAATGGAGGAGTAACTAGCAATAAACCGCAATAAATGGCATTTATGTAAATAGGAGAAGGGGTTCACCCAATAAAAAATGAACTAGGTGATTGTTCCTCCTGACAATAATGAGTGACAGATAGATCTTAGAATATTTGAAATATCCTTGGATCTAATGGAAAAGTGTTGGATAATATAAGTAAGAATCTTGATAAAAAGGAAATCTTTGTATCTTTGCAAGAGAGAGGGAATCTTTCAGTAAACTCTGCTCTTATCACCATAAATATCACATGCCTCTAGTCCTTCTATTTTTTCCTATTTGTATGGGACATACCCCCGACAAACCCTAATTGTACAAGTGCAGAGAATATCATCTTTAGTATCCTATTCTAATAAACTAGTTGTTACATCTCTTTCTGTGTTGCTCGACCTCGACCATCGTTAGTAAGTCGACCACGAGCCTCACTATTTTCTAGTTAACCTCGGCTAACTCTTTTCTCGATGTTATTCGGCCCCATCTACTGAGACAGATTTCGACCTATACACTTACGTTAACAGAAAAGGATTTTGACCTCTCTTTCTCCATTCCAACCTAAATATAGTATTCTCAAATGAGCAGTTTTGTTTTTGTTTTCTTTCTTAATTTTTCAGTTGAACCCTTTCAAATAATTTAAACGTGATTCGAAAAGAGATATTGCCTATCTTTCTAGTTTCCTACTAAATAAATCTAGTATTTGTTTTGGCGCATGGCGAAAAAAAGTACCAAGACATTTTTTAATTATGGCATGTTCGGTAGTTTCTGCGAAAGCCATTATCTCTTATCTAAATAATCAAATGTAGTACAATTTAATACCCCAAGTCAAATAGTTCCCTATCAATTTATGCATTTGGACAGCCAATTTCACTCTCGATCAAAGACTTCATTGATGGACTCCAGAACCTTCGCATGAGCTAAGAGAGAAGGAAACTTGATACTCAAAGATGAGAAAATGAATTGTGTTATTTCTAATATCCCAAAGAGATGTATATATACACGTGGATACAATCGCACTAACTAACTTCAACTACTCTGACAGCTAAGCTATTGTGTACTAACTAACTAATTAACCAACTAAACTAACTAAACTACTCGAAAATATATACAAGAATGATGTTGTTAAATATAGTGTTATCTCAATACCCCCCCCCCCCCCC